GTTTGTGGCCATTGATAAGACTAATAAAAATGCAAAAGGGGGCCAGGAATAGAGCTAAGTGACAGTGTTTGTCTTGCATGTGTGAGGCCTAGGGTTCAAACCCCAGCATGGCAGAAAATAAATATAAAAAGTGCAGGGCCAGGGAGCAGGCTTGCGTGCAGGAGGCGGAGTCTGATACCGGGTACACCACATCCCAGGAGCCCTTCCAGGTACGCCCTACACCTCACCCCCAAGGAGCTACAACATTACACGCAAGATCCCACACAAACCAACCAGTGCCTGAGGAGGGGCTTCTGTCTTCTTGTTACCTAGAATGTGTCTCCCTCAAAGCCAAACAACCAATGTAAGGGCACACTGACACATGATGGTATGCAAACTCCCCAGTACAAACTACAAGAACCCAATTCACCGAGCCTGAACTATTTGATCACCCTTCTCAGAATCTTCAACCAGGAGATTATCTAGTCACTCGGTACCACCCCCAACCCCAGACTCATCAGTCAAAAGTGGCAGCATTTCAAAGGGAGAAGAAAACAGCTGTCCCCTGGGGTGTGACACACAGAAGCTCCGGGAGGGCAGCAGGCCGGGCACACAGGCCAGGGAGCAAACTTCTTAGGCCTCCACCACCTCGGTGTTAACACGGGGATAATAACAGAGCCTCCACCTCGCCGCCATGGTGGGGCTGAATTAACTGATCTCTGTAATCCACCCCACTCTGCCAGGCACGGCGAGGGCGCTGTCTGTGAACAGCAGCTAATAGTATTGTTTCTGTTACTCGGAGCTCTTGCGTCGCTCATCACACCCCAACATCTCTGGGAGAATAACGCTATTATCTAGACGCAGGGCACCCCAGGGCCAGATCAAGCCAGTTTTGTCACTTACTCATTACACAGGATTATTATCCCCGTTTTACAGGTGTGGAAACCCACATTCAAAGAGGTAAGGTGACTACCGGCCAGAGGTCACCGAGGCAACCAACAGCTAGCTCATTGGCCGTGGCCAGGGCCCATGTGCCTCAGAATCCGGCTTCCCAAGTGCAAAGCCCTGCGGGTCCACAGCAGTAGACCCAGAAGAGCAGTCGTCACCGGCGTGACTGTCCAGGGTGCCGCTCACTGTTCTGCCCATGGGTCCCCGGGAGCCTTGCATAAACTGGAGTTTAATATCAAGCTACTTGAACCCAATTAGGCAGTAAGTCAGGCTGGAAAACATCAGGCGATGTATTCCAAAGGTCAAAGTTAAACCTGGCTTGCTGGGCAGCCCTTCGCGGGCACTGCCACAAAAGCTAGTTCCTGTGCAGACCAGAGTTTGACCAGCTTTCAACGACAACAACAGGGGTGCGTGGTTGTTTATTTAAGTCCCAGGGATGCCGGTAGCTCGATGCCTGGGATCTGCACGGAGAAAGACTGCAGAAAGACATCTACTTTAAAAAAAAAAAACAAAAAACATTGGCCTCTTCTTCACTTAGGGTTCCGCTTCACCCCGGCGCTGCCCAAGACAAACCTCCAAAGGCGTGGGGCAGAACGAGCGCGGGGGGGGGGACCCTGACCCACGGAGCGCACGACCTACCTGCCCGGAGGGCCCAGCCCTGACCGAGGGCGTTTCCCCACGCACCAGCCGAGGTCCCTCCCGGCTGGGCGGCCGCTGTCCCGCGCTTCGCTTCGCCGGGGGCCGCCAGTCTGCAGCGCCCCCAGCCCGCAGAAGCACCCTCCCGTGAATTCCCACGCGCACCGCCCCCCCCCCCCCCCCCGCACGCCCGCAGCCCCGGACTCAAGGTCCCGCCGGGGGCTTGCATCGCCGCAGGGGGAGGGCGCGCGGCCGGAGCCAGGCCCGGTGGGGGGGGATGGACCGCGCCGGGCTCCGAGCCGGGCGCCCTGCCCGCCAAGCTTCGGGCCGCCCGCGCCCACGGGGCAACGGCCAGGGGAGCCCGGACGCAATTCGGGGGCGAGGGGTCCCCCGGGGCCGGCTCCCCGCTGCCTGCACGCCCGGGCCCTGCGGGGTGATGGCGCAAGGCTGCGCTCCCGCCCGCCCCCTCCCCTACAGCGACAACAGCCACGGTGACAAAATGGCAGCCTGGCGCCCGGCAGTCGTGCCACGGGGCGGGCAGCGCCGGGCGGCCGCCCCTGCGCCCCGGGGACGCGCCCGGGCGCCCCTCGAGCGTGACCCGGGGCGGCCCGGGCGGCCGAAATTGTGACCCTATTCACCAAATAAGACCCCCCCCGTCCCCCTTCGAGCTCCGCGCTCGCCCGCCGAGCCCGGAGGCTGCTCGGAGCCGGGTCGGGCCCCGCGCCCCGGCGCCCCCCGTCCGGCCCCCCGCGCGGCCCCGGCCCCGGCCTCGGCTCCGGCCCCGGCCCCGCGCCGCAGGGACGCAGCGGCCGCACTCGGAGCCCCGCGCCCGCGCCGTGGGGGAGGGGAGGGCCGGATGCGGGGAACATGGCTGCTCGTCCTAGTTCAGCGTCGCGGCGTGGCCGCCAGCCCCCGGATCCGAGCCGGGAGCCGCTCCCAAGGTGGGTGTCGTGGGGGCCCCCGCGGGGTGGGCGCGCGGCCGGGCGGGGGCCAGAGGGCGCTCCACGGGCGCTATTTGTCTTCGGAACGCTCGGGGTGGGGGGGGTGGAGGGAGCAAAAAAAAACACCCAGTTCCTCCTCCCCCCCCCCCACCCCTTTTGTCCCTCATTAGCTCGCTTTCCCCGCGCCCGTCCTCCCCAAATGCGCCCGAAGTGGCCGTCCGCCCCCGCCGCGCCCCACCCCGCCTCCGGGCTGGGGCAGGCGAGGGGGCGCAGCGTGAGAAATCGCTCCGGGTTCGGCGCGCCGCGCTCCCCTCCCCTCCCCTCCCCCCGCAGCACACACTCGGGGAAGTTTAAAGAGCCGGTTCGACCCGCTTTCGGGCTCGCTCCCAGTTGGCCGGCGGTGTGGACGGGGCTCGCCCGGCCCCGCGCGCCTCCACACCCACCCGCCGCCGCCGCGACCCCGGCCCCCCGCGGCCCGGGGTTCCGGAAAGTCCGCGGGAAGATCGCCACCCTGGTCCCTCCTCCACCCCCCCAGCCCGCGGGACCCCCGGGGCCACGCTCCGACGGGCTCGCGGAAAAGTCCGGCCCTCCGCGGCCGGGTACCCCCTCCCCGCCCTGCGCCACCAACCCCCTCCCCGCCCTGCGCGCGCCATCAGGCCCGGCACGTCCCCAGCCCCGCAGCTGCGTGACGGTGAGAGCGGGTGGGGGGCGCCACAGAAAGGATCTTGTTTTCAAAAGTCTCGCTCAGGTTCGGGGGAGGCACTCGAGAACCGGGGGAGGCGAGGGAGGCCCTGCCTTCCCGGGGTTGGGGGGGAGCTCGGGCGGACCAGAGGGGCGGCAGGTCAGCGCGCGGGCGCTGCTGCCCCAACTCTCCAACTCCGCAGCCCCCCGGCCCCGCGAGGCCGAACCTGGGTCCGCCGCCCGCGCCCTCGCCCTCGCCCGGCTCAACGCGGCCCGCGAGTCCGCCAGGACGCCCGGGGCGTGGGGGGTGGGGGGTCTCCTCCCGCGGAGCCACCAACTCGCAGAAAACACGGTGGGAAAGCGAGAGGCTGGGAAAGAAACGCGGGCGTCGAGCAGCACCCGCTGGGCACCCCCCCTCCCCTCTCCCGGCCCCCACTTGGCCGCCTGCAAGTTGCGCCCGTCGCGCCCGCCGCTCCCCTGGTCCATGACGACGCGCGGCCGCACTCGTCCATCCCGAGCTGCGTGCGCCCGGGTCGCATCCCTGGTCTGCGCCCGGCCGGACCCTCGGGGCGGGCGCCGGCGCGTGGGCAGCTCGCGTCCGGACAAAGTTTCCCGTGCCCACCGGTTCACGGGGCGCCGAATGGCCGCCGAGGAGCCCGCCCCGGAGGCAGCTGGGCCGGGGTGCATGCATGCTTGGGGGGCGGCGGGGTTGGGGGGGGAGGGGGAGGGTCGCGAGGGTAGTAAAAGGGACCGCGCTCGCGGGCTGGCATCTCCGGGAGGCCGCGCGGAGCACGCGCCATCGGGGGGAACCGGGACGCAGCCTTTGGAGAACTTGCACTTAGCGATCGCAGGCGGCGGGGAGGCGCGGGCAGAAGCGATGCCTTTGCACGTTCGAAAGCCTCCCCCCCCACCCCACTCCACCCCTTCTTCCAAGGTATCCTCCCTTCGCGAAGGAAAGGAAGGAACAGCAGCAGCATCGGGCCCGAAGGTGGGGTGGAAAGAGTGAGGGAGCGAGAGAGAGAGAGGAGAGGAAGGGAGGAGAGGAAGGGAGGGAGGAGAGAAAGGGCGCGTTCACGAACACTACAAAGTTACAAATATGGCTCCCCCGTCTCTCGCCTCATCACTGCAAAGAAATGAAGACGCACTTTAAACTCCAGCCATTCCCCGCTGCGCTGCAGCCCCCCTCCCCGCGCGCGCCCCCCTCCCCACCCGGGGCCTCGGCCCACATTTATCAGAAACTAAACCGGACTCGCGGAGCCCCAAAACTTATTGTGTGTGTGTGTTTGTGTGTGTGTGTATGTGTGTGTGTGTGCGTGCTAGAGAGAGCGGGCGAGGGGAGAGGGGGGAAAGGGAGGGGGCGGCGCGGGAGGGGTTCATCTATAAAACAGAACCCCCCCCCTTTTTTTTTGTTGTTGTGGAACCTTGTCCTCCTCCCGACCGAGTCGCGGGGGCAGCGCGCTCCCCGGGCTCCCCCGGCCGCTGCCCCGCGCCCGGACGCGTGCGCCCGCCGGCCCCGTGGGTGCAACACCCGCACGCTCACTCCCCACTCGCGCACGCGGGAGCACACGCACAGGTAGTCACACAGCAAGGGCAGCGGCGGCGGCGGGGCCGAGCCAGGCTCGGGCGGCGGCACCACGAGCCCCCCCAGCCCCGCGATCCCTCCGCGCTCCGGTGCCCCCCTCCTCCCCCCCAGACCCACCCCTCCCGGCGCCCCCTCCAGAAAGTGCCTCCTCTCCCCCCCCCCCTCCCCGACGCACACGGACACACACAAAGTCGGAGAATGGACCGACGGAGATATTTTTGGCGAATGCTCACATCAGAGGGCGTCCTGTTCCGCAGCTCTAAATGGATCCGCTTGTCCATCTCCATCGCGCGCTCCCTGCAGAGGCCCCCGCGCCGGCGGAATTCGGTCAATAAGCCCCGGGCCCACGGCCGCGCGTTTAGGACTTTGGAGGCTCAACCAGCTCCGCTCGGTTCTCGAGCCCCCAGCACCCGCGGCGCACACTAACCTGATCGGCTCGGAGGCGGGAACTGCGGCCCGCGCGCGAGCGGCGGCCGCCCTCGCCAATCAGCGCCGAGGGCCTCCGGGCAGCAGCCAATGGCGGCGGCGGCGCGGGGGGAGGGACCAATGGGCTCGCTGCGCAGCCGGCCAGGGAGGCGCAGCCATTCGGTTGTGGTGCCGGAGACCGACCCCTTTAGATTTCGGGGCGGCCGTGGAGCGCGGCGGCTGCTCGGCGGCGGAGTGCTGGGGGTGGGCGGGATGGGGGGGGCGGGGAAGGGAAGGGGCCTGCGCCTCCGGGGCCTCGGCGTCCGGCCGGGGGCGGGGCCGCAGGTGCGTTACCGGGGAGGGGCGCGGCCGGCGGGGGTCGACTCGGGGTCCGCGCCCGGCCGCGGGCGGCGCGGGGTCGCCGGGACCTGCCCGCGCCCCCCGCGGCCTGCGGCGGGCGGCTCGGGGTGCGGGGATGCGGGCGGGAGGATGAAAGGCCTCGGGGGCGGGGGGCAGGGGTGCAGGGGCGGGGAGAGGCCGGTCTTTTTCTGGGTGCGCCCGGTGGATCCGGGGCGCAGTGGCCGCGTGCCCCCCACCCCGGCTTCTCCGCCTAGCGGCCCTCGCCACCCCCCACCCAACCTCTGTAACTCACAGCCAAAGGCGTGTGTTCCCCCCCCACCACCACCACCCTCATGACAGACCCGCGGCCCCGACCCCGCTCAGGGGGGCCCTGCCCTGTCCCTGAAGGTCAGCGCGGAGGGTGCCGGCCCCGAGGGGCAGCCGGATCTTGGGGCGTTCAACAATGGATGAGGACGGGGCCGTGGGGTGCGCTGCTGTGTGCCGGGCACCGCGAGGGAGGGTGGGGGACGTGCTCCTGGCGCGGGGTGTGATTTAGGGGCTCCCCGAGCCAGCGGCGGAGGACGGCCCACCCGCTCTCCGGAGCGCTGGCTGGGCAGCGAGCTCTGCTGGTTTTGGAGTTTTGAATCGCGTTATCTGTAAGGACCTTGGAGCCCTCGCTGGCATCGAGTGACCCGCGCAGGACCTTGTCTTGGTGCTACCCGGCTGCCCGACGGGGGTCTCGGGCCCCCAGCGCGGACCTGCCCTGCTCTAGCCAGCGTGCCCGGGGCTTTATGGCACACGCCGCGCTCTCCCCAGGACTCCCCCAGCGCTTTCCTTTTTGGATTTGTCGTGTTTCTCTTTTCAGGGCCACGGGTTCAAGGGAGCGATAAAGCCACAGGCACAGTGAAATTTTGAAATACTGTTACATAACACTAATACAGTTTCACCCGAGCCTATAGGAGGAAATAGAAAGTGGCAAAATGTAAATAAACCACAAGTAGAGAAAGCTTAAACGGCTGAGAAACTACCCAGCCTCACGTCCTGCCTCTAAGCATTTTTCCCAGTAAGTCCTTTCCTATAAAATAAGTGGAATTTGTAAAGTGGTGTGTATTTGTTTTAGCTGAGACATACGGGATAAAAAGTGAAAGACATTTTGTTGCACTTGCATACGATTAATATAATGTTCAGCCTGCTTTAGCCGATGGGTCTTGGTTTGGTAAAATCAGTTTGTAGTTGTAATTTATTCTTTTAAATTGCGCTGGCTTCATTAGAAAATCGAGGGGCCACACACGCTAACCTCTAGTTATATTGAAATTTCTTTCAAAGCAAAGCTCTTTTCACACATTAAGACAGTATGGTGTTTTTCAATCTATGGAACCAGAGTCCTGAAATTTGTTTGTTTGTTTTAATAGTAAGTGCATCTCTTCCATTTAAATTCTTAGCCACAACTGAGACACATTGCCTGCAATGTGACCTGGAACAGTGCGTTTCCAGAAGAGTAAGCCCTTGAAAACCAACCAATCAGATGCAGAGATGTTTCCCATCCTCCCTGCGAAACAGAAGCTAAGAGTTGACTTACTCAGACTGAACAGAATGTCAGCCCAAACTCCCATTGAAAGGTGCAGTTAAAATTAGGGTTGAAACCTCTGCCTTGATACTAAGTCAAATACTCGATGTAGCTGATTGATTTTAGAGGCAGCTCACCCTTCCATGTTTTGATACCAGCTTTTGTTGTTAGAAAATTGAAAGCAAGAGTACACTTGCCTTGCACATGGCCGACCAGGGTTCCATCTTCAGCATCCCATAGGGTCCCCCCCCCAACCCTGCCAGGAGTAATTCCTGAGTGCAGAACCAGGAATAATCCCTGAGTATCACCAGGTATGGCCCAAAAACAATAAAAATGAAAAGGGGTTCTCTGGATGCCATCATTAGAAGAGTTGAAATGTCCCAGAAAAAAAAAAATTCACAGCAAACTGGATACTTCACTTTTCATCTTTCCAACACATTTTGAAAAAAGATCTCTTGCTTCAACAAATTAATTTTCTTGTAGTTAACTTCTAAGAAAACAAATTTCTTATGAAAGAAATTTTTTTCTTATTAAAAAGAAACAAGGGTGGTGGAAAGATAGCACATCAGACATGTGGAAGGCCAGTCTCTGCCCTTGATCCTTGGCACCTCATGGCCCTGAGCACAGAGCTAGGCTAGTCCCTTGAGCACAGCTGGGCATGGCCAAAAACAAAACAGAAGCAAGGATACAGTTCAGCAGAATCTGAGCTATTTTCCCCTGCGACTGTTCAGACATAGAAAAATTATATATTTCTTACTTCAAACCATTGTTTCTCACGTTACATTTCAAAAATGGCATCTTACAATAGTAAGTGGCACCTGAGTGGTTCCACATATCAGAAGATACAGTAAGAAAAGCAGCCCCATGTCAAGGAACCTGGGCCAGATTTTGATAGAGATTGGACAAGGATGAGCTCCTAACTGCTGAGCGATTCCACAAAGGAAATTCAGTGACAACGAGGTAATCATCACCTCTAGAAGAAGATTTGATCGTGCTGGAAACATAGTTTTATATGTATATATAATATATGTATTTAAATACGTATCACATGCATTATATATAGTGTTTATATGGATATAGTTAAAAGGTGTGAACACCAATGGAAAAAGAAAGAACTTCCTCCTTTCCACTGAGAACCACTCCAAACAGTGAATAACCTTATTAAAACACAAGAGCTATTAATAGATGTCTTTAGCTTTTAGATACAGTTTGGAAAGTATTGTTCCAGAAATCACACACATAGTGGCTGCTTCCATTTTAGTCCGTTGCCCTTTTTGGTCTCTAAAGATGAAGACCCTCTCGTTGGCATCCTTTTATGAAGCAAACTAATGAAAGCACAGTTCAACTTTTTTGTTCTGCAGCTTTGAATCACATATACTGGAACCTGGCCATAGTGCTTTTTCACCTATATCATGGCTCTGCTGCCTGGACACCGAAAGACAATCTTATGGAAATACTCCAGCTTCATTATGTTCTCTTTTGTCTTTCTATATAAATAGCTTTTAGAAATGTAGATTATTCTTTTGAAATCCATGGTAACAAATGTGAAGACAATGCATTTTGATTTGAATAGCAAAGGATTGTTAACACCCAGGATCTAAAAGGTTAACTATTCTTGTCTTTTTCTCGATAAAGTGTTGGATTTTTAAATATATATTGTGGGGCGCATAGATAAGACAAAGATTTAGGCACTTGCCTTGCATGCAGCTCCCTCATACCACACACACATGTTCCTCAGGTCTCCCCCCAAATAAAAACAAATTATGTATTGAACAGTTACTTATTAATGGGTTAGTCCGGGAAAAACACTACTAGGAAAGTAGTCTGTGTGTTAGCATACGCGTGCGTGCGTGTGTGCGTGCGTGTGTGCGTGTGTGTGTGTGTGTGTGTGTGTATGTGTGTGTGAGAGAGAGAGGAGAGGAGACAGAGTGAGAGGATGAAGAGGATGATGATGCTAAGAACTGAATCCAAGGCCTCATATGTAAGGCATGGCCTCTACTGAGACACATCCTGACCCTACTTTGATTTGCTTTGTTTTGTTTGGGGACACAGTGCTTGGGGGCTACTCCCAGCTCCATCTTGGGTGGACATGCAGTACAAAGGATCACAGTCAGGTCTCCCATATATGTGACATGTCTCCAGCCCTTAGAGCCATCTCTTTGGCCCTCACCACAATTTATTTTGGAAAAAAAAAAAAGTGACTTCTACCCTGGTTTGAGAAGTACTAGAAATTCTATGAAGTTGTTTCTTACAAAATGTATTTATTGAAGGTAATTTTAGGATAACAAGCACAAAGTTTACTTACCAGTCACAGGAAGAAAATGAGCTACAAGTTCTTATTTTTAATATCACAATGTGGTTATAAAGAAAAAATAGCTGAAAGCAAATAATGGACTGGGACTAAAGGTAATATATGTTGGAAAGACAAGTTCAATTAACTGAGAGTCAATTAATTTATTTTAATCCATCTGGGGTTTCTCTATGAGCAAAAGGGTACTCAAACCTATTAAGATTTACCAAAGGTGGAGAATGGACCAAGAATTTTTAATATATTTACCCTTTGCAAATAGTATTGATAATTTTAAGTATGCACCATAAAATTATCCTCTCATATATACTTTGTAATGGCAGTTATATGTAACTTTTAGTATATGACTGAATTGGTTATCAATTTAATGCATCCTGGAAATTTTATTATTTTAGTGAAATAAAGTAGTTTTAGAAAAATATTAGGAAGCAGCAGTCAGGATGGAAAGGAAGAGACCCTTTTGGGAGATTATACAATATTCACCTACTTTTCTGATACTTCATCTCACACTGGAAGCATCCAGACTATTGAGAAATAAATGATAATATTTGTATAAAGCAATAATAATGGAAATGGTTGGGGCCGGAGTGATAGTACAGCAGGTAGGGCAATTGCCTTACATGCAGCTGACTTGGGTTTGATCCCCGGCACCCCAGATGATCTCCCCCAAACCCTGTCTGGGGCAATCCCTTAGTACAGAGTCAGGTGTAAACCATAGAACATAAAAAAAAAATGGAGCACAGAAAGTCACCTCTACCCCACTATTTATTGCAATGTGATTTGCAATGACTAAATATGGATGCAAC